TTGGTTTCTTCTGTCTCTCTCTCTCTCTCTCTCTCTATCTTATTTTATTTTCCTCGTTTTATACATTTGATACACTTACATACAAAGACACACACATACACACACACACACATACGCACGCACACCCTATCATAGTTGTAAATCTAAATTCGCTCTCTAAATTTGACAAAAGTAGTACTCCTTGGCTTTCAGGCATTTTCATCTGCATGTTCTTTCTTTGTTACCTTCTATAAGATACTTTTCTCGAGAATTATACGCCCCCATTTTGCATTAGCTTTTACTATTCGAATCGATAATAGTTTTCGGGGTTTCACCCCGATCTCTTTCATTGAGTTAATTAATAATATATAGGTACAAAGTCGGATAATAATTTATATTCCGTAGTTTTCGTATTGTAATATTATATATATGTAATTGATTTGTTGCTTGTGTCCGATTCTAGAATTGAGCATGCCTATGTACAAATGGGCATGGCAAGAATAGAAATCGACGTGTGCACTCTTCGCGCTGTTTCTTATGACAGATCGACGATTCTAATCGATACCGTACAAATTGTATTAGCATTATTACTGTAGGACATTCACGATGAGCGAATTTACGTTACTTTCGTTACATACTCTTGTTAAATTTTATGTCGCGCAATTCTTCTCGACACGAAGAACGATTTGCCATTTTATCACTATTCTATTATTTGCAGTGCATAATCATGTAACAATTGTAATTTCATCAATTTTTCAAAATCGCTCGATTGTTTACGCGAGCGCAGTCTTTGCAAGTTTTCGCGATATACAAAAATTCTACGATTTCTCTCAACTCTAAGTATAACTTAAACGGATTTGTCTCGATTGTTTTCATTGTCGAAAACGCAAGAAACAGCTCACGAAGAGACGAGTGTCGAATCAATTTCGCGAAGGATCTTATACAGCCGTCTGTAATCGACGCGTTACAAACAAAAGAGTTTTTAGCTAGTAGTTGATATATTTCATCAGTTAACTATTACAGAATTATACTTGCGTATATATCATCCCACGATCTTGATAAGTTCGTGCACTTGCAAAATATGTACTTAGAAATCAGCTTATAGTAATATCTTTTTTTTCACAGTACTTTACATATACATGTCTTTGTCTTCGGATAGAACTCTACTTTTCTGTCTTTATTTTCTCACGAGTAAAAAAGCTTCTTTCTTTTTGCTATACGCCTCTAATATAAGCATTTTATAGATATGATAAGATACCACCCTTTTTTATACAATTCCACCATTCCCTAAAGCTCAATCGGTCTCCCGATTACGAGAAAGTTACGTTACCTAGGATTTATCATAAACAATCGGATTATCGTGACATCTACATAGTTCATCTGTAAATTAACAGTATTTGTTATCTCGTTCGTCAAATTCTAAGTTAAGAAGTCTTAATAACTCACTTAACGACGGACTGCATGTATTTCGATGACATTTCGATATAATCTCAGCACGCGTATCAAACTCCGCGTTTGCATTATCTCGGTTTTACCTCAAAGATCACGTTGCAAATCGCGTAGATATATTGATATAATGGAAAGCGGGAGCGCGAGTGCGAATGTGTGAGACAATCGTTTCAAATTGCAAAGCAAAATATTATACTTGATCAATCATAGTAAGAATTTGTGATAAAAGAGCGTCGACGTAAATGTCGCTGAATGTAACGACTTTAGTGATAGAAGAAACGTGAGGCGAATTACAGAAATTTTTCTACATTCAAACCTATATCTCTAGCAAATTTTTATAGTAAATCGTAGATTTACAAAAATATACGTAATATAGCCATATACATTGAAGCTTGCATTCCATTTGTCAATTTTATCGATAATATCCAAGGAGTACCTTTCAACTATACAACGATTCGTAATTCAAGGTATGTCACATAAAAAGCTTACTTCATGAGATTATTAAAAAGACTTACAAAGAAAATTCGCGCAGTGATTTTCCTAATTTTCATATTCGCTTAACGTGTCAACTTGCAAAAGTGCATCTAAATTGTGACATAAATATTGACGCAAATCGCAATAATACCTGAAAAATATTGGAAATTTGCTCCTTTTTAAACTTTCCTCGTTTTTTTCAAATCTCATGCATTATAATTAAATTGAAACTTTTGTTTTTTATACGAAGTTTTCACGTTACATCTTAAAAACTTCACAAAAGATAATGCTCTTTCACTTTTTCTCTCTCAATCTCTCTCTCTCTCTCTCTCTTTCTCTCTTTTTCTTTCAATCTCTCTCTCTCTCTCTCTCTCTCTCTCTCTCTCTCTCTCTCTCTCTCTCTCTCTCTCACTCAGAGAGCACAAATGTAATTATTTACTAATTCACAGCAGGCGTGCATGTGCATGCTCGCGCTGAATATATCTTCGCGAGTGTTCGAGATACGCACGAAGAAAGATCGAACACATAGCACGATAATTAAGTTATAAAATTAATGGCAAGCATTTCTTTTACGCTTCTTACAGAGATTTACAAAGCCTCTTAATATTTAGCGGCATTTCACTGTTTTTGTACAAAATCAGTACGAAAGAGAATTTTTGCCGCGACGCGTCTCATTTACGCGAGTCATATGGGCGGTTTTGTGTTTTCAATTTGTTTCAAAAACTGGTTCTTATATACGCGAATGAAATCTCTAACCAAAGCTTTCAAACGAAGCTGATTCGTAATCGATCGGGTATTCTTCATTCTGGCTCCGAGACTGCTAATTCAATGAAAAAATTCAAACTGAATGTGTAGGAATTCATTTATCAGTCTGCTTCTTACTTGAGAAATATAATACATATTGTTGTCTGTTCCATATTTTCTACATAATAATTATCTCATTTCTTTTAGACACGGATTACTAAACGATATTTGAAAAGCCAAGTAACACCTGCTAATACGATAACCGATAAATGTTAATATATTCAGGGAACTAACTATGTAATTAATTATACCATCGTACATTCTAATTATTCCGATGCTAACTTAGAAAATATTAAATTAGATCGAGTTTGTGTAATAAACAAAAAAATTCAAAACTATAACGACGATCATCGTAGAAACTGTAAGTCAACGAGAATATAAAGTAAACATCATTACCCATTCAAACTTGCGCGCACATATCGCAAATTCTCATATTAGTGTTATTATAATATTTACATATATATATTAAATAATTGTTGACGGAGATATTTTTGACTAAAAATTTGACAACGATAAATGTCTTTTAGCCGATCATTTCGGAGATCGACATACTTGAACTGTCCTAAATTATATACAAAGTTTGGAAATGTTCTCATTTGGAATGTCCCAATATTTTAAATCTCTCTCACATGCCGTTTAAACGAAGTTTGTGACCATTTATCGCATATTTCTCACTGTGTTCATGAATTTCTTATTCACTTAATCACATTTAGATTCACTGAAAATGAGTGTCGTTGACCGTTTCACATTTTATTTAGTATCTAGTACACCACATTTGAGTTCACATCTATCCTGAACTTGCCTGATTTAGTTTGTTTTCACTGGAAATAAAACACACAAACGTATTATTAATTACAAATACATAGCATTTACTTTTCAGGAAATATTGAATGATAAAAATTCTCATTGCACATGCATATGAGATTTACGTACTGTCATCGTATAATATGTATAAATTCACAATTATTCTATCATGAGATTTCTTAATTCAACACATTCAATATCTCAAACTGATCGTATCTTAAAAACATTTTGAGAAAATGTACAAGAGGATACATAGGACTCCGAATACGGCACAAACTTACCTTCATTTACTTTCTTTTCATATATAATTTTTATATTGTTAAAAATTCAAGCATATATATTAAAAACTGTCACAATTTGTACTATGTATTTACAAGGAAGTTGAAACGAGTCATGAAAAAGAGAATGAATATTGTGCAAAGGTCGAAATTAATAATGTGATGTATATATGTATATCAAGCAATATCAGGAAATCTATAAAAATCGTTCTTAAAAATGTACATGAACAATTATTAAACTTACAAAGTGCAAATAGTAAATTCGAGGATTAATGAAAATCGAACTATTTTCACGTCGAATCAAATTTCGTAGACAAAGGCGTATTCCTTCTACAAGTTTGGAAAGGTAAAATTGATGCATACAGTACAAGGCAACGAAGTTTCGACCGTATAACGTCTCGTGTCGTTTCTATGTCGCTACTTCGAAGCCGAAATGGAAGTACTTTTATATAGGGCAAGCATTTTCAAAGAAGAGAGAAGAGAAGGTTTCGATACAAAAACGGTGGAAATGAAAAGAAGATATTGGCAACAACAAATGTGTATCAAGATTTCACATGGGTACTTGAGAAAATCGATCGAAAGGTTAATATCCTAAAAATACGAGCAATATTGCTGTATTTGATCGTCAAGGTATTACGAATAGACATTGCAATCACCCTGCGAATGATTGCAATCGTATTGGCGCTTTTTTATTATCGCCTTTTATGTACCCACGTTAAATCGTTGTCCAACTATCTACGAACGATGCCTTCATCTCAGTGCGTACCTAAAACTATCTGGCGCTCCGGGAACATGGCTGCTACGTCTACATCTAGTCTACATACAGACTAGTGGCTCGTCTGATATGCCGTACATGATATGTGATGTACTAGTGGTGTTTCTAGAAAGACATCCTTTCGTACGTTCTTTCACTCTTTTCGAATTCTCGCATCGCCTTTGCATTGCTTATATCTCTCGTTTTCATTCCGATTCCGCAGAATTTTCTATTATCCGTATACAATCGCACTTTTTATACTGTGTATTCCTCAATTATATGTTCGTTAAACTGACTTTACCGTATTCAGAGCCGAACGTCACTCGTTAAATAGCTTTAGGCTTCGACATTAATAGCCTACAGGGAATACGCGTGTAGGGTGTATAAGATTCTTTTCAATTCTGTCAACCATAGAGTGAAGAATATGTAATATTACGACGGTAGAGAAATATTTAAACACTTCTCTCAATTTTTATACGATGGATGTAGTGGTAATCCGAACTCTCCTTCTCTCCCTGTCTATCCCCTAATGTATTTATTTGATACTACATTTAATATCATCAAGTAATGACTTTATATGTGTCACTTAAAAGTTATTAAAGACGTTTATAATAATTCCCATATACTTTCTATTGTTTAATCAATTAAAATAAATGTAATACTAATCTTGTACATCGATACTCGTGCATTTCAATATTTTGTTAATGATAAAAGCGATTGGGTGCACCGCGATAGGAGCTCGAACTCAATCGTGTCTGCGCTACTTTGTCTACTGCAAGAAACTCAAAGATCTCTTCAGTAAGTACGTGTAAAAGGAATATTTCGGTACGTTCTTCGGGCAGTCATTCTTTTAGATTTTAAAAGAATCGAGAGACGTAACCGAAGATCGACGGGACAAAGCAAGAGATGAAGCTCCACTGACCAGGGCTTGGGTGTCAAACAGCTTGTACCATCCGATCACCATCTGATTGAGGTCCAGCTCATCCAGCACGATCTGTGCAATACCCATGAACACTTTTTTCCCCTCTAACCGACCGTAGTCCCCCCATACTGTCACCTGAAGCAGTGATGCAATGATGCGCATAAAATCGCAATTGAATTAGAAAAAAGAAATTAGAAGAACAGCAACGACACACGTACCTGTAATATACAACCTCGGCAGTTTTCTTTGAAAGCCAATAATTGCGAACCATAAAATGGATCCAATGTTTTTCTGGCCGTCGTGGTTTTCGCTTTCTCTATACATTTTTTACCGTTCACCAGGTACAACTTCACGTAAGAAGCTGGAATAGAGTCGAAAAGCTAAGTGCATCTGTATCACTTCGGCAATCGTGAAATGAAATTGGTCAAAGTCTAACTAACCTGGTATTACTCTACTGCCTTGTTTCGCTTTGAGTTCTTTGGCACGTATGACCTCTACTTCAAGGTAACCCTTTGTATGGCTCAACGATAGTTGAATCTCGCCGAGGCAATGGGTAGCGAGTGCTTGTCTTCCGACCACTTGGCCTGGTCCGAGATCTTCAATGAAGTTTCTCAACTGTCCGTCGCCTGCCATTCGCAGACTGGGAGACCAACTGCAGTTTTCAAAATTATATATTTAGCAAGAAAACGCAACTTATTCAGGGTACAAAAAATATGAAGAGTGATGATTTAAAAAAAAAAAAAGCACTTGGAAAAATAATATAAAACTTCGGGTGAAGAGAAGAGTGAAAATTTAGCTGATATGTTTACCATGCGATCAATAAAACACGGAAAAAAAGAAATAGCTGCCATAGCTAAAAACTGCGTATGGTAACCAAACGGCAGATGTAAAATATGGACTGCGAATATTTTATTTGCGATAACTAATTTATATAGTTGAATGAGTTTAGCTACTTGGACCATGTGGTTTAGCTACAGTATATATTATTCAGATAGCAGTCATAGCAACATACATTATAGTAATTAGTTTAGCGTACATATAACTTTGTATGTGGAAGACATAATTTTGCTATCGTTGCAAAAGCATTTGCAACGACAGCAATGTGTATTGCTATATTCACAATATACCCTGTAGCGAAACTAGTATCTAAGGTAGCTACTTCCTAACGAAAAAGACTGAAAGTGAGATTAGGGGTAGCACTCAGTGAACGGTGGAGAAACTTTTAATTACGCTCGTTCGTCCTACACGCGCGTCATTTCGACGTGACGGCGTCGTAGACGTCCGTGTCTCCAAATCAAAATGATTGAAACACAACACACTTATATGAGTATGCAATACCCGCGAAAATACCGTTAACCCGAACGGACACCGGACACGGACTTCTTTCTTATTTAGTTAATGGCACCCGCCTCCAAATAATAATAGGTAGGTAGGTCGATACGGCCAGATCACGTCTCAAATGAAAATCGTATTAAAATGACGGGCGAACGGATCCCGCGAGAATGGCGTTGCTCGACCGGTACCTGGGCGCCTGCATCTACGTCGTCACGTCGCAATAACGCGCGTCATGAGAGCCCGAGTTGTCGAGGGGTGCAAGATGACGAGCAATCGAGACGAGCTCAACCGCGGACACGCACCGTGTAATTCTAACTTATGGCACCACGCCTCCCAATAATGGAAAAGGTCGATACCGCCAGATCACGTCTTATGAAAATCGTAAAAATATATGTAAACGAACTAATTAGGATAATACAATGCACAGTCAAAGTCGGCAACACTTTCAAAAATATACGGTAGAAAGCACCCGACCGAGACGCGTTCGCCGCGGCCGAGTGGTTCGTCAGAACTGACCGGACACGGACTTCTTCTTCTTCTTTACTTAATAGTTCCCGCCTCCAAATAATAGGTAGGTCGATACGGCCAGATCACGTCACAAGTAAGACCGGACACGGACGTCTACGACGCCGTCACACCGAAATAACGCGCGTGCAGGACGAACGAATCGAGCTAGAAAGGAAAGCAACAACGAAACGCGCCCGCTACGAGTGATTCTTCAGTTACTGAAAAGAATCCAAAAACCGTGAACGTGTCCTTACAAGTTGAAACAATTACCTACGTGCATGCGCAGAGCGTTGCTCGCACCAATTGTGGCGCCATTTATGCGTATCTTAACTAATCGATTAGTTCCGGTAACTATTTTTATTTAGCTGCACGATATGATCATGACAGACATGCATGTTTTGCTAATTTAGTTATGTATTAACAACAGCAGCAAACCATATTTCGCAGTAGTTCATAAATTTTTAGTTGTAGCAGCAAATTCAATTTTAACAAACCCAGATTAGCTATGGCAGCGAAAATCCTTTTTTTCCGTGAAGGGAACTCTATTTTATAAGTTTTCCCTTTTCCGTTTTCTTGCTCGCATACTAAACGTACTACAAGATGTATATGTACAGAACAATAATCTCGACTGTTCTAAATGTACAATAATTCACAATAGAAAAAATAAAGCGCGAAAACTGCAAGCCGAAAATTATAGTATTATTCGAAGGAACTCACTGATGCAATGAAGAAAATGCGAAGGAGAAAAATCATAAACGAAAGTAATATTTCCGCAGGAGCGAGGGACAATTCTCGCAAGCCTTCGACGAAAGTTGTAAAAGATAGAGAACACACCTCATTCAGTTTGAGATAAGAAGAACTCACGCTGAAAGTGTAGTGTCAGTGTAAAGTGAGTAAATATAATATATTATACACATGGAAAAAAGAGATTGTATAGATAAGTTTAAAAACATATCAGATTGCTAATGCATGCATTTTAATCTAAATGCGCAGAAAGAGATTTTGGATAATTATTATAAATAACAGTAATCAGTCCATTTTAATATATATAATCGAAGAAAATATACAAAGAGTATATAAATGCAATGTAATCAATTTAAAAGATACAATATAAAAATTATTCTTACAATTTCTATCTTGAATCTTTTTTTAATTACTGATAATTTTCAAACACGACTGAGTACTGTTTTTTCACTTACATCTATCTACACACAACATGCTTTATTAAAGTCTTAAAGAAAATTAATTAAAATGATTTGTATTAACTTACACTTACTTGTCGTTACGCCATTGGAAAGGTTCACGTGACTAGAGATAAGCGGATCTTTTTAAAAACAGTTTTGCTATAAATGTAGATATCCATATCGAGTGTACACACAGCCATTCAAAGTTATTGTTAGTCTAATAACTAATTACACTTAGAAATTAATTTTCTTATTCAATCTTATGAAATAAATGTACATCCTTTTGTGGAGTAATTGTATCTAGTAGCATTGTCAGTCATTTAAGATATATTGCTATATAATTTTAATATTACGATACCAATAAGTGCGACAGTATATATTTGAGTGTTGGGCAAAGTCATATGAATAGAAGTTCACACATCCGATTGCATCCGATCATTTTCTCTGAAGTTTCGACCATATTATCGCTGCCAAGGAGTAAAATAATTTATTAGCAAAATTATTATTCGTAAACGTTTTGTGCCGGACCGACAAAGCGTTTGCTTTCATCCTGTAAGTCACGCAGGCCCGCATACCTACGTTTAGTTTATTTTTAATCGTCGACTTTGTTACACCTCGAACTGGCAGGTACTTTAAAAGATACACACGCTGTACAATACCTATTCTACGATATATCAAACACACTTTATGGAAATGATAAGAAATCCATAAGACAGAGGGGATTAATTTACAAGAAACGTCGATATCTCAATAAATAGTATAGTCGAGTATATATAAAAGACAATGGATTGTGGAGAAGTAGGTGGAAGCCATTGGAAAGACGTGAGGGTCCTGCGAAGACATTCTTAGGTGACATTTAGCATATTCACAAGGGTTTTCTTACCATGTAGGTAGAAAATATGTAACTCCGCGACAATGAGATATCACATTGACATAGATACAAAAGTGCGTGTGTGTATGTGTATATATGTGTATGTGTACGTGTGTACATTATATAGGTATGTGCAACGGTGCTCCGAGGTAATGCAGTACAATCATTTTCCACATTCAAGCAATTAAGCCAAGACGACAACAACACTGATAATGAACAACAATATTTTTATGGGCGTTTTCGAGAAAAAAAAAAAAAAGGAGACAGAAAAAGACAGTAGAATATAAATCCCACAGCTAATTCGTCGAAGACTATGTCTTTAATATATATTTTTTCCTCGCATTATAATATTGGCATAAAATACAAATATTCTACTGATATGAAAAAAGATTACATTTCCTACAATTTAATCCTGATTATATAAATTATTATTTAATTATTATTTAATTATTATGTATCAATTGTTATAACTCACTGCGAAATAAAAACGAGGAGAATAAACGGAGGTAAAAATAAGTTGCTCGTCTTGCAATAAAATATAACAGTATCATACACAAATATTAAATTTCTGACTTTTATTTAATTTTGCAAACAGCGCGTTGTTTATGAATAGTATAATGGACAATATAAATCGAGAAAGAAAGTATGAAGAAAGTCACATGTATAATCTAAATTACAAATTGACAAAAATCGAAAAGATATGAAAAAAAGCGTGTGGCCACAATCATGTAATTGCATAGTTCGAATTCATGAACGTATTACTGACATGTTTTCAATCATATGTCTAAAAATTTAATAATCGATGTGGAGAGTTTATGATTTAGGTGTGGACATATTTTGGCGCATACAAGGAGTAAAATATAGAAAAAGATAAATAAGCAAGATTATTCTTTGTCTATGATCAAGATGACTCTACGATAGCGATAATAATAATTTAATATGACTTAATAATTATCTTGATAATTTATGCATAAATAAAACTTGTTAATAATTTTTCTAGTTAATCATATTTTATCCGAACGACAAAGAATAAGTTTTCACTGGTCAGAGTTAGAGTAAGAGTTAGAGTTAGAGTATGATAAAACAATAAGCATGTACATTGACAAACGATAAGCAATGAGCTGCAAGCTGTGAATACCTCAAATAATGAACTCACTAAACAATATTTGTTTACACGAAAGCAAGTAATTATTAAACTGAGCAAGCGTTACATCCATGCTTGACATTACTGCTCATAATTTCTAAGAACTTCTTAAAATGAAGATCCAACGCAACACGAATTTATATTAAATCATCTGTTGATATTTCTCACCATCTACTCTTTTCATTCTATTTTCTTAAAGTATAGAAACCCAATAAATATGAGAAACCTTGTTTGAGATACATACATTTTGATAAATCTAATATATTCAACACACGGCAGAAATATACTTCAAACATAGAACTTGTTGCTCTTATCCAGAACATTATCGTCATTTTCTCTCGATAATATATATTAATCTATGAACTCACCTTCATATAGTTTAATTACAACTTACAGCTCATTTCGCGTTTAGTCAAGGTGCAAGCGGCTTAAGAAGGACAGAATGTAAGTAAAACCACAGGAAAACAGAAATCAGTAGTAGAACCAGCATCAAATGATAGAAGAAATGAAACCGGAAAGAAAAAAGAAGAGAGAGAGAGAGAGAGAGAGAGAGAGAGAGAGAGAGAGAGAGAGAGATATCAGGAATCTCGCGCTTTTTTCCGCTTGCAGAATTGGTCGTCACAGGTGGAGTCCACTACTTACGAGCTTCCTTCGGAACTAGAGATCGAGTTGAGACTTCCGGCGGTATCGCTGGCTGCAGATCCTTTGTTGTCAAGGCGCTGGTAGGCCGGCATGATCTCCTCGGATCGTTGTATGCTGCATGGCGTGCTGTTACGTTTCCGGCTCGATAAGCCGGCACCGCGTGCCACGGCGCCGGCACTTCCACCAATGCTGATGATCATCCCGCCGCACTCTGCGTTGTAAACCAAACAAGAAATACCGCTAAACTAGTGTCTTTTATTAATATCTGCGTACGCCAGTACTGCAGCAGCTCTCATCGCTCCCTCATCCTCAGGTATCCAAGAGGGCTACCGAATTTCCGGTCATTAATTTAGCACATCTTCGCACGAGCAATGATAGAATCACAGAATAACAATTTCAACATGTAAGATTTTGCAGGCTACTTCTCTCTCTCTCTCTCTCCCTCTCTCTCTCTCTCTCTCGTGCAAACTTCTTCTCTCATACCCTCTGTCCTTTGCTTTCTTGTTTTTACTCTCTCAACTCACTTTCCAGAAATAGTCTAATGATCAGTGGTAAGAAATCCAGAACTGAAATAAGACCTCGTAACTCGAGAAACGCTTTGAATTGAATTTTACATAGGTAGGAAAAGGGAGTGTAAAAATTTATTGAGGTGTTACATTTAGAGTGAAATGTAACGGGATAACATTGCTCGGGCATTTGCATTTGACATCAACACATGGAATATATTTAATCTTAGTGTCTTACGTAAAAAACAAAATTGTAAGTTTTGACGTTCGTCGTATTACAAATAACACGATAACGTTTATATGAGAACATAGCAGACTATTCTCTCTGGAATTACTAAATGCAAATAAAATCGATTTATAGAAACATAAAATATTATTGACGATCTAATAAAAATTTGTTTCAATATAGCAATAGATAGCGCACAAAAGTATATACAGATAAACCTTCAGTCGTCTAATACGTTTCATTATTCTCCTTTTGAATAGATTCACGCCGGCTGTCGAGAGAAAAAATGAATCGTGATCAGAAACAATTTATACACCTTCCTGTATGTGTACGATTTTATTTTATAAGATTTAATTAGGTGTTACTGTAAAAAAGTTAATGTGTATATTTACTCTTGCATATTATTCTATTTTGTATGATTATTTGTTATATTCTCCGGACGCCTTAAGTACAAAGATAATTATATATACAATTATACATTTATATACACACATTTTGTACATTGAATTTAAAGAAATGCAATGAAAATGTATAATTATCAAATTAGTACATAAGGATTGTCCGGTAATAATTTATCTGACAGCACATTCAACGATAAATTTGTAATCAGTGACATCGCATTTATCTGACAGCACATTCAACGATAGATTTGTAATCAGTGACATCGCAGAAATATATATATTGTAACGTAAATATATATATGCTCCGTAAAAGCATTGCAACGATTCAGGACATCGAAAAGTCAAAAGCCGTGTGAGTAGCGCACTCTCACCTTAAGCACGTATCAACAGCGGCTTCTAAGAAATAATAAAAAAATAACGTATCACATAGGTGGCCAACTTACCTCGATGCAATTGAAAAATTCAAATTGATCACGCGACGATCTAGATTCAAAAGCTGTATGAAACGAAACGATTATAACGTGACACACGGTGCCGAGCGACACTATTCTAGAGTCACGAAAAGACGCCCAGCACAACTATATTTGTGCAACTAGAGGATATGAGTTTCCTGATCTGCATGGCTCGCGTCATGTCGGAATAAATGTTATGCAACTAGAAAAAAAAAAAACGATGGACTCTGCATCTTTGATGAAGAAATATAAAAAAAAAAAAAAGGCAGACGATTTAACACGTATTGACAGAGAGCTTATTGTTAGGTTACAGCCCAGGAAACTCGCGTGCGAACGTTTCTCTAGAAATAACGCATCAATGCTACGTAGAAATAGCATCTACGATCTAGAATAACGAGAAGGAAAGGAATCACCTCGTGACTATTTGTAGAAACGTGCAGATTCGCAAAATACTTTCTCTTCGGTTATGTAGTAACAAAAAAAAAAAAGAGAAATAATATTCGATGGTAACGCGTACGAGAATCCTTTGCGGATCCGCTGTACTGAGCCGCGATCCAGCTTTAGGCAAGAGAGTATTTTCCGACAACAATCACGAGAGAGACTCGCACGACTCCGACTAAAGCACGGCCTCTAAAAGAGTGATGTGTATAGTGTGTTTCATTGTTGCTTGTTAACAACGGTGTTCATCGGTAGGGTCAAACAGTAGTTCTCGTTCTTCCTATCGCAAGTCCTCCTGCAACGTGTACTCACATTTCGTCGAAGGCTTGATCCAATTTTACGATTAATGGGATCAGAGATTATACCTAAGTAAAAACTTCTATCAATAATGAGCGATATTCATAGTCTGTTTTTTATTTCAAGACCGTCTTAAGTGATATCTTAAGATATCTAAGACGATTCTCCGATCGGTTCACGACATCTTAAAACTATATATACTTAGGACGGTCTCAAATATAAGATCCGACTACGAATACCATCCAATATACCTCGCTCTTCCACTCGCGCGACAATTTTTATTACGCGCGATATGGATTATGCGTATCGTCCCTCATATTCCGCGACATAATAGTCTTACACTTGGCATTCATTGTTGCGAAGACATACGATTCCATGATAAACGCCGCGCCCGCCCCACGTAAGACGTGAATATACCTCCTTCGCCCGGCCACAGTCGATCGCTCCCGTGTCAATGCAAAAGTAATGAGGAAAATATAAAGTGAAAGAGAGATGAAAAAGAGAGAAGTGTTTCTACTGAGAGAGAGCAAATCGGACCTGTCCCCGTCGCCGCTCCCCTCGCCGTCGCTGCTCGCGGAGCTCGGCTGCCGGCCGCTCCTACCACCGACCGTGTCCTCCGGCGGCAGGACCTCCTCGCTCCTGTGAACTGTAAAGGACGACTTCCCCTTCTTCCCGAAACCCAGCCGCCGTTTCCGTCCTTCCTCGCCCACGCATGTACCACCAACAGACGCACGTGGTATGTTATGGATTTTGCGTGATGTGATAACAGTTTTGTTATTCGTTTCGTTCGTTCGTTCGTTCGTTCGTGGTTGCAAGTTGCGGTAGCAAAAGCAACAGTTGTGAGCATAATGTTAATTTATCGAGTCAATTTTTTTTTTTTTACAGACGTATACGTTTTTTTTTTTTTTTTAAGTATACGAGAGTATTGATTCAAGTTTATTATTATTTTTTTTATATTTTGGCGATCGGTCCAGCAAATCGATGATGGTGATCCGTGTGTGGAGTGTTCCGTGAACACAAGCACACGAGAGCGCGGGGCGACGATCGGCCGCCACGATGAGAAATCGTGCAGGTGGGTGCAGATCGATGACGTGAATGGTCCCCCAGCGTCGAGAGGTGGTTGGTTGGTAGAAGTAAAGTGTGAGTGTGTTCATGTCGAAGAAGAGGCAGATAGAGATGAGGAGGGATGGCGGAGAAAACAAGAATACAATTAGAATGTACATACTGCCCCGCTTATTGGGTTTTTTTGCTTTGTCTACGACATGCTCTTGTTATCGTTCAATTCGTTACCCGTCGAAACGAATTGTAATGCAATTCGCGCAATCGTAACGACCAAGGCTAGAAATATGAAGAATAAGATACAACAGATACTGAATTATATATTACAGTAAAATAAAATCATTTAAAATTTAAACCGAGCACACGCACTATTAGTATCATTTTCAATTTGTTTAGTAACTTAATATCTTAATAAAATATTTGAAAAATATTATGTATACAATACTTATATGTATAAAGTAGTTATAATTGTATTATATATACAAAGTGCATATACAAGTATTTTATATGTAAGTATTTTATATATAGTTTCTGCAATCAATCACATAAAAAATACATTTTATAATATTACTATCGTAAAACTTGTGCGTTTCATCAACTACGCGCGTTTTCAAACACTTGCCGCAGCTTACTCTCAAAGTCATGTTGCTTTTTACCGGTAGTTTCTTATTCTTCTTTTTCTCATTCTTCATTCACGTTTCGATTATAAACGTTACGTGAAACGTAACTGAAAATTTTGCTGTATGCGTTTCAAGCTGTTGAATTTATCTTCATTAACGTTCAACAAAATGAATCTGTATATCCACGACATATTTGCATCATCCTCATCTGTATGTACGTAGCGAGAGCACACCGTTATAATCTACACACTAACGATGCTAGACTACTCTATCCTAATTTACGAAATATTGATGTTCTGAAGAGAAAACGATATCCTTTTCACTAAAGAGAGAAGATATAAATGTTAGGAAAAATAGAAAACTGTCTAATGTCGCGCAAGATGGTGTCATACATCGATCAAATTCTAATATCGCGCACCGGGAGACTTCAGTTTCGCGCGAACGATCGATCTTTACGAAAATTATCACTACGTATAACACGTAGAGACTAAACGCAAACTTAACTAGAAATGACCAGTGTGACAATGTGTTACCTGTCGCGGATAATTGGCTGGTGCTATTGCTCTTCTTGCCCAAACCCGCCTGGTACTGCACCGCGCTTCCGCTACTGCTACCACTTCCGCTTTTACTTCCTGGTGAGCTCTTACGGCCTCTCCTCGCTGCTTCTTCAACGTTCAATGCAATCGCAGTATCGCTGAAACTACCCGTGTCTACGAAACAAGAACACGTACTTGTACACGTATAGAATTAAATCAGAGCGGCCCGAGGGTGAAGTAAAAACTGTGAGCCACGTCTCTGTGTGTTCTCGTCCCGTCTTTTGTCATGTCAAAATAAAGGAATGGAAGCACGAAGCAAACTTACATAATAGAATATAGCTTCGGTTAGTTAAACTAAAAATTTGCAAAACACGGTTAAATTATTGTATAATTATCATGTAAAATATAAGGAGCAATGCGTGTGTAATCTTTACTTTGCTATTGTTGAAGAAAGGTAGAAAAAGACGTTCGTGACTCGGTGAACTCAAAAGAAACTTTCAGAACGTTTGCGTGGACGTGTGTCCGTAGTTTATTAACTACCGCTAAATTCGAGTGCAACTAGTTCGTGACTGTAAATCTCGACGAAAATTCATGTTACACTTTTGCAGAGTTCGGTCTTCGCTCTCTTAGTTATATATATCACGTCATCGTGACAGTAAAATCGATGTCTGTTTAAAGAGAATTTATATTCAGCGAAAAATCAAAGCTAGGTATTAAACAAAATTCTTATTAAATAGCAAGATGTGGATATACAGTAGATAAATATAATAGAGTGGATATAATAGAGAAATCAAATTCAATATATATAGACGAGAAATTATTTAATTTTAATTAGTATAATTTTCGATATTACAGATACGTAAAATAATTAAAAGCCTATAATTATACGATTATGTTTATTCATGAAATAATATCTAGCAATGATTTCATAAAATTAAGTTTATTCAACATATGGAAACAATGTAATCGATGCAAGTATGTCTTGTTATTGAAAAATGAAATTTGTTGAAATAACAATCTACGAAGAAAGAGAGAGAGAGAGAGAGAGAGAGAGAGAGAGAGAGAGAGAGAGAGAGAGAGAGAGAAAAGAGCTAATTGCAATCACTATAAACTTTCTCTTACCTTTCTCGTCCTGCGGCACATCGGCATTACTGAGACTCCTGGTGAACTGACTTCTCTTATCGTGCTCATCGTGCCCGTTGTCGGTGACCTGGCGTCTGGACGTTTTCTCGTACGAGCTCGACTGACTGGTGTACTCGCTGCTTTCAGGCATAGATGAAGAACGACGATTCCGAGCGTCGTCGTCGTCGCGACGATCGGCGACGGCGGCGACGACATCGACGTCGTAAGCGGATTTTTTTCGGGGTCGTCGTCGTGCGGACAACAAGGATGACGGCGGCAACGGTGGCAGAAACGTCGACGCCACATCGGCGACATTGGCGAGCGGCGACGTTTTCGTGTTTTGTGGGTGTTGGTGGTGATGATCGTTGATCCGTGGGTGGTAGTTTTTAGCAGTGTCGGAGGTAGCGGTTTGGGAATCAAAGAGACTCGAATTAGCGTTACCAGGGCGGGGTGCTCGGTTACGGGGCCTACGCGGATCGCACGGGCCAAATCCGCAGTTCTCGCTGCACTGGCTCTCGCTCTCCATCGAGTACTCGTAGTACTCGAGGGTGTCGCTGATCGCCACGTTCCTCTTACTACTTCCCTGCGATTGCTGATGCTGCGCTTGCTGATGCTGATGCTGCCGTTGTTGCTGCGGTTGCTGCTGATACTGCTGACTTGAGTGCCGCTGCTGCTGCTGATGGAGTTGCATGAATTGCTGCTGACGCTGCCTCTTCTCGAGCATTTCGAGATCCCTAGCCTCCGGACAGCTGCTGTTCCGCCTACGATATCTATGCTTCGTCTCTAACGATGAACGCCGAAGATCGTCACCCTTTCGCGATAGCGATCCCGACCTACCTAACTCCGAGGAGGACAGTGCTAGCTCACGACACTCCGGGCAACTACTCTTACGCCTAGCGCGCGATACGTATCGCGCATCGCGACTCGAAGAACGTTGCGACCCTGACCTAACTAGCCCGCGTGCCACCGGATAGCTGCGATCCTGATATCGGTCCTCATGATCGTATCTTGCGTCTAAGTAGCTACCACGATCTTGTTCCGCGTCAAAGAAGCCCGATCTAATGCCGTCGTTTGCTCTAGCGTCCGCCACGTAGCCCGAAGTATGACGGAAATAATCAGCGCCGACTACCGTTTCCATCGACCCGAACTCCTCGTCAGACTCCGTCAGAAGTACAGTTCTCTCGCGACCATTTTCTCGCGGACCATACATTCGTAGATCTCTACTCTCTGGACAACTACTGTTCCGTTTGCGGCGATACATGCGTCTGGCGCGTTCCGCAAGCGAGCTCATGTCCTCGTCTGAGTGTAGGGTCGGCGTGGACTCCGTTCGTTGGATTGTCATCAATCTCTTGCTCTCCGTTCTCGATTGAGCGCCTGATACGTCTCTGGTCTCGTAGTCACCTCCATCTCTACTGCCTCTTCTACTTCTTCGTCTTCGTCTTCGTGGCACAAATCCATCCTCGTATGTCTCCACCTTACTTGTACTGGGCGTAGTCCAATACTCGTAATCGTCGGACGAACGAAAACTGATGTAATCGTTCGTCGTGAACTTTTTGTCGTCATCATCAGATAGTGCGTAACATTTTCCCTGAACAGCACAAGAACGTTTCGTTACGTCGTGAAAATATTCACCTTCGCGCACTGATCCACTAGTCCTTAAGGCATACACGCCTTTGTCTAGGTAACTAAACTGCTTCTGTTCGTAGTCTTTTTCCCGGTCTATAAATCCTTCGTCGTAATCAGTGTCCCAGTTCTCGCGAGTTTTATACCTATCCTCTTGATAAGAATGACCAGTTGCTCCATGAGACCGCAGGACACCTTTTACGTCCTTCGACATCCACTCGTCCATGTCAGTAATATCATGAATTTTTGTGGAGGATCTTGCGAGAATGTCACGATCGTAATTTTTACTGGACGAAAAAGCCTCCTCAGTACTACTATAGATACGATCACCGATCGAAGTACGAAGATCGCTGTCTACTTTCTTGGTTCTTGTCCCTGGAGATATGTCTTTAATATACGAGGTGTCGTGATTCAAGTAACTTCCATCCGCGTATTTTTTCTTGCTAGTATCATCCTTGTCCAGAATATTCCTGAGATTAGCACGGTCGTTGTCACTGAAGAGATCATTGTTATCTGTTAAACGGGAACTATAGGACACTTGATAATCGTTGGTCTCGGTGTTCTGCTTGTCGAAACTTGAAACGTAAATCTCCGTTTCGCCACAACTAAGCTCCGAGTCGTATCCATAAAACGGTTTGTGGTCTTGATCGAGCAGAAAATCGTAATTTGTCTCTTTATTCTTGAGACTCGTAGGCACTTTGTCGTCACCGTTAGAATCGTAGTAGGACTTGCTCTGATCGTCCAGCGCCGGTATCTTGTCACCGTATCCGGCGTCGCTGAGAGAGAGATTCCGCTTGAGTTTTCTTCTGGCCGTCCTGAGACTGTCGTCGCTGAATATGTTGCTCGAAATGCTCTCGTACTCGAAACTCTTGGCCCGGCGCGATAGCAGACCGACGGCCCCTGGCCTAGTACCGAAACGATCACCGTATGTATCGTGCATCACGTCGAAGCTCCTAGTCTTAGCGGACAAAAAAGACCTACGCGGATGCAATCTAGCGTCTATGTTCCTAATATCGAAATAATCAGGGAGGTCGAGCGAATCGACAATCGGTCGCCTTGTCCTCGTCTTCGTCCTCGTCCTCGTCGTCATGGTCGTCGTCATGGTCGTCGTCGTCGTCGTCGTCGTCGTCGTCGTCGTCGTCGTCGTCGTCGTCGTCGTGGTCGTCGTCGTCGTCGTCGTCGTCGTCGTCCTCATCATCGCGGAATCATTACGTGCACGCGACAACGTACCAAATCCTCCTGCGAGATACGGCATCGAATACCTAGAGCGAAACTTTTCCACAAAACGATCGTTAAAGTTGACGCGGAGGCAATCTTCGACATATATCGTCGGTATATGTTTCTTAGCGCTACTAGCTACGAGTCTCTCTGGCTTGAGTATGTACCCCTCGGAAACGCTGTACTCGCTGGTCTCGGAGCTGTATCTCAGCATGTTCTCGTCGACGGTCTGCGATCTCGTGAATGGCGTACACATCTTTTTGTACAACGAGCGTACCACTGCGGACTTGCTCCGTACGAGGGGATATAGGGTGGGACACTTGCTAGGGTTATTGCTTTTGGGCTTGGTGGGACAATGACATTCGCTGCAGGGTACCCTAAGTTTGTGCCTGCGCCTATTGCGCCTAGGGGGCGGGGGTATGGGGGATATGGCACCAGGTATTAAAACTGTCGGTCTGTAAACAATGTTTTTCATATAGAGAGTTTAACGCTTTTGCGGGAACACAGCCAAAGGGTAAGCCCATTTCGCTTGTCATCTTTCTTTTGCTTTTTCCTTTCATTTTGTTTTTTTATTTAATCACGCGTTCGCGATCGATCGAACGCATATCGGTCATTAACATCTCAGAACTCGACTCTGTCGATTCGCCGAGAACAACGGGTCGGCATTTCAGAAGAGACACGCGGCGATCGATGTACTTAGCAATGCTTTTTCATCATCTCTATGAACGCGGTGAGACACAACTACCTAACCGTTCGACCAACGCCACGCACTGATCCCTGCTTTCTTAGAATGGGACAGTAATTAAATGGACATTGACACAGTGCATAGGAAGTGCAATCTAATCGTTCTGTAGAGAAGGCGCGAAGGATATCGGAAGACTTGACACGTACACAAGCAGGATGTGAAAAATGTGCAACTACGGGATATCCATTTAGTTGACAATGTCCATTTAATCCAGGGATTTTCCTTGACTCGAGAGGTTGAGCCGATGAGTGTGCTATTCTTCAGATTATCGATTTTATCGTGACATAAAACGTACAATGATGCATCCTAATGTTGCAGCGATATAGGTATGTTTAAGACAGCACACTCGATGCTCAGATCCTCCTTCCTAACGGAGTATTCTATTGAATCTGCGTTGCTTTGCACATTGACTGCCGCAACGCGAGGTAATTCGTATGTTAAAATATATAACGGAAATTTAATTATAAAACTATACTCACATTAGCGCTCTCGATCCACGTGGTCGTTCCGATTGCGTACTAAAGGCACTGCTCGTTACCGAAGCTAAGCTTTCCATGTCAGAATCTCCAAGATCACCCAGTATATCTTTATCGGGACTTAAATGGTCCTTCCTCGACCTGTGCATTCTGTGAGCGTAACTGTGTGACAATGATAATGGATCGTGTCCGATTGAAGGAAGATCCGAGTCCGAAAGACCGCTATAATGCCTTTCCCAGCCTAAGAATAAATTAATCAATTATTGAAGATACATACAATGAAAATTTATAAAAAGAATAAGTCAATATATTGTCTATTATGTTTGTTTTCATTCTTTCAAAGCGAATATCGACAAAACAACAACTTCTCCAATGGAATTCATTAAACTTCCCATACCCGTGCTCCTGTATATCGACTGTCTGTTGCGATGTCTCATGAATCTTGCTCGTTCCTCAAAATCTTGCACGACTCTTTCCTTTAAAGCTGCCGGGATTTGAGGTAGCTGTCGTTTCTTCGGCGATCCAGTAGGTGTGGCGGTCGCCGATCTCGAGGTAAATCTAAATAAGAGTAATGGTAAGTCCACTGTTCTAGTTTCCACAAGTATGTAATCTAGATAATGTCAAAAGAGTTTCCCCGTGATATTTTATACCTCGTCGTATGAACGTATCCGTGAGAAGAGTAGGGAATGGATCTGTGCTCGGGTGGAGACAAGGAACGATGACCGGTGGGACTCTGAGATCTTGAGACTCGATATCTGATGTTTGGAGAGTCCATAGGTGCCGCGCTGTGCGATCTGTGACCCATCATTCCCCGATGGATCTCGTCCTGCGGTACATATTTAATAATGTACATCTCCATAGATGTTATTTAATAACATGTATACATAACGATTTCGAAAATAGAATATCTATATTCTTGTTTTATTCACGCGCATAGAGAAAATGGTTTTGCTAAGACATCTCAAAATTTAATTAAGTACAGATTTAAAAATAATTTTCTTTGGGCCCCCAAAAAGATAATTATTATCCGTAAGATGCTGGAACTGATTGCTAGAATATGGTGAAATATTTTGTCATCGATGCTTAAATTCTACACAATTATCTTACTAAGTTTTTGAATACTTCAGCAAGACCGTTCTTTCCGTGCATAATCACCGATTACAAGCCATTTACTTTACTTTAATACTTCTAGTTACAAGTTCTTATCGAAGCTCAGACACTGTCACGTTTTTTATAACTTCTAAATGCTCGATTTAAAGAATTTTCACGATTAGTGCTCAGATGAAAATTAAAACCAAATGTTCTCGAACACTTACTTTACGATATGTCTGGTAACTCGAGCCGATAGTAGCGGGTTGGTCACGAGAAATCATTAGGGCTGCTCTTTTGCGTCCCTGAGGTGACATATCTCTTCGACTCCGATGCTCGCCATCGATGCAGAGTTCCCTCTCCGGCGGTGGGCTAGAATAGTGGCTGCTCCAGCATGCGTTCATTTTTTTTTCATCAATCAGTGAATGCTGCGTGCCTTACAAGTTAAATGAGGCGAGTGCTGTGATCTCGCGCTAATCATTAAAATGCATGCGGCCAGGATGGTGGGAAAGCGGAAAAAAAGATGTTCAAAACGCTAGGAGCGAGAATGAGCTACACAGCACCGAAGACGGAGCCAAAACGTCAAAGTAAAAATAAAATCCGCAAAGTCCTCTTATTCCGTTACCGCTATCTTTTGAATCTTCTTCGTATCTTTCATATTTTGGCGCATAAAATTTAAGCGACTTTTCAGATTGCAAACTGCGAATGCATATTTCCTAATTTGGCGCGAAGCAGCTCCAAGTTACTCGGCAATGCAGTCGAACGTTCTCCTTGGTGTTCTCGATCGCGGGACTCCTTTTCGTTGCCAAAAATGAAAGTACGCGCGATAAAAAAAAGGATGACTCGTCATAAATTAAGAATATGCCGTGTAAGTGCGTTAGATGAGTGCCAAGTACTGCGTAAGTATTGCACGTCGAAAAGAACAATCGTGGCGATATGTGTAAGATATTCAGAATAATTTTCACCACTTTTGGCAACGAAAATCGGGCAAATTGCAATCGAAGCTTCGAGAAACTGAATCCACCCCGGCCGATGCACTGCAATGCACTAAGCATTCTAGAAGCCATGTCTTGTCGCATCTAATATAATATGCGTATATGCAAGAAGCAATGACAGCATGACGTCTAAAGTGCCTACATGAATGGCGATTCGCTAAATATTCGCATTTAACATCTCGTTGTTTATTTTACTATGTTTTCGCGCCTTGACAAAGAACGAAAACGAAGGATAGACATTGTCCCAAAAATTTTTTAACACCGAAACATATTGTGCATTGCAATATTCACCGACTTGCGTGTACAATATCGCGCGCGTGAAAAATATAAAAGACGTTAGAGAGATTTCCGTTTGTCGATAGTAGTTCCCGTCACCGACGACGTCCGTATCAGAGTCGTTGTTTTTTATTTCTTTCTTCGAAAAAAAAAAGAAAGAACACTTTCTTTCCTCCTTTCCTCCCATCCACGCTTGGAAGTATAACAATATCCTTGTCAAATGAAGGTTTATCGTGTCTTTATTGTCCGTTTCTTAAATTAAATTAGCTATATGATCACGTCAGTACACGTCCCGTTGTCATGTCCCTATTACATCTCCGGCTTGTCGGCATGACTAACTGACTGATCTACGCGCAATACAGAACCTAGCGGTGAGGATGCAAGACGTGTGACTGCGTGATTCGTGAAAGAGAAGATATAAATTGTAATGGCCGTACCGCTTATAATTTGACGGCATATTATGAAACCTAAAAAATAAATCACAAAGCACACGATTAAAATTAAAATCAATCGACGATGGCGCGGCCGCGGCCGACGCGTCATTGTCTATTTTTTTTATCTCTCCACAGGTCATACATTTTTAACATGAAACATTTTATCCGTATTTTAAATTTTAAATCAATTAAAGATATTTTCATGTATAGACGCGTACGCTAAAAAAAATTTCTGAATAAAAACGAACAAATTAGAAGAGCTCCGATCATATATCTATAAAAATTTTGGTTATCTCAATAGGAATTATAATAGATTGAATCAGAAAATTCTGATTTGTCTATTTTTAACCTGAATTCCAATTAACACAACCAGATTTATTTTCTCAGTGTAATATTTTTTGATTCTATTAATATTTTTAAGATATCCCGCCGAAGACATGAAAAAAATATTATAAAATTTATACATATAACATTATGGGAATAAATTTTTTTGTAATTCTCGTACATGTATTTGCGATAGATCGGAAGAGCTATTCTTATTTATCATTAAATATAATAACGTCCGGGCAGAATTATAATAAAAATTTTTATTAAAACGCAGACATTGTCCATTGTATTAGCCGTCGGTTTGGTTTGACGACGACGGATATGTTAATATAACTGGCGAAACCCTTTCAAATAATCTCATTAAACGATATTGAAGGTTGTTTAAATATGCGTAGGATGTCCGTTGCTCTCAGAGTAGACAGGAATGTTTCAATTATTCGAAGAAAGCTTTTACAGGCTAATGCGCGCTTAGAAGCGTTCGCTTTGCAGATCGAAGCTGTACGATATAAAAAAAGTGTAGAGCGATACCGGATAGTATCTCGGCTTATCCTCATCTCTGCCACTCTACCTACCAAGCCTATCGAAGATAGCCTACGTGTTCATTGAATTCGCTACATTGATTCAATTTGCCGCGTGTATCGTCGATGAAAAAATTTATGAGCAAGCTATCTTTAAAGCGAGATCAAAACGTGTGTTGACATTGAAACAATTTTGAAAAGTTTACTTGCTAAAGAGAGAGTTGAAGAGAATTATATGAGATTTATAAATGTCGCGCATATGCATATCATGAATTTTTGTTACGCAATAAATTTTACTGTTGATGATTAATTCACGTCAATGCAGATTCCATAGACTTCATATTTTCGTAACTGAATAATTTATTGCAGCAGCACTAAATGATTGTGTATTTGACTTTTCTCTTAGAGATCCATTAATTTAGCAACTGTACGATTTCGAATGAGTTTATTATTATTACGAATTAACTCTTTAAATAAAGTTATCTTCTTATATCCATTCTCTTTTCAGGTGCACTGTTTCGTTTCGCATAATGGACTAGACAGCCTTCGATAAAAATTACTTTACACTCAAAAATAACGATCGAACATTATCACTGGAGTGTTAATGGATACGAGTTTCAGGCTGACTTCCGGAGCTAGCAACGGTCGCGGGCCAACTGGTATGTCAATTGGCTTATTGCCCAGTTTTATAGCTTAGCCTTTACCCTCTCTCTTTCTTTCGACTGACCCCTCCCGTTCGAGTCTTATCCTTTTTTAAACTTCCGTTAGCTATTATTTATTTTATATATTCGTACTTGTCTCTATTTCTCCTCTGCACTTGGCTTACGTTTTAGTCGTATAAGAAAAGAAGAAAATTAGATTTCAATATCGGAACCGTTTCCAAAATTTCACGGAAACTATTATTAAATTATTAAAAAAAACTATTCTCTACAATAACTTTATGACAAATGATCGGTAAAAAGAGGGCAAAAGAGTAAAAGAAATTAATGAAGACTTTTTTTATCGTGTATTTATTTTAAGCCATGTAAAGTTCTCTCTAATTGTATAGATTCGATAAACGCTCAATTCTAATGGTAGGATATTGAAAGAAGTTCTTGCAGAAAAATATTCTGTATCGTACGCACGCTGAAATGTTTCTTTGTATAATAAAGATCGCAACAAGAATAATTGTTACGCAACAATAACGATAGTATAAGTTACGAAACCTATAAATTAGATTTGAAGTCGGGGACAACAACTCTGTCAGATTAATACTGCAATTCCTACCGATCAAGTATGTTGAATTCATTTGGATGTCGCATTTAATTTTCAATCGTGTATAAAATATAGACTTATCTCTATTCGACATCTTATGATTTTCGCATAAACGTTTCGATTTGCGTATAACGGATTTATGCAATATTCAACGGAGACATTCTAGGCTAGTTGAATTAAGCGATTTTTTTTCCGGCGATTTTTCAATATACTTTCTTTCGTTAGACCGGGAGATTTATATATATTACAGAGATTTTAAGAAATGGTCTTACCTAGAGGAACTGCCAATACTGCTTATACTGGCACCGTCAGCCGTTCTCCTTTGTTCTCTAGACACGTCGCAATCCGTAATGTCACACTCCGAGGTATCGGAGTCACTTAATCTCGATGTGGTCGATGGCGGACTAAGATGACAATCTATCATGTCATCATCTTGGTAATGCCTGAAGAGTGAAAATAGTTAATAGTTTTAGTTATAGACACATTGCCACAATATTCAATTTATTTTTATTTGTTATTAGAAATAAAAATACCAAAGAATATTGATTAAATGAATTTTTGTCTTGAAAAATACTGATTTCTGAAATTCAAGATAAATCATTGTACAATGTTACGTCACATTTTATGCAGAGAAGGGTATAACATGAGAACATTGTCAAACATTCCGCAAGGGATTCGTATCGACGCGAGGTATTTATTTGATCGCTTTTAGCATTGGCATTGGAACTACTAGCATCCGCGAGTGCGATTCATACCTAACGTGCCGGTGTTCTCCGTGAGCGGTCAGAGAATGCCATTCTGGTTCCTCGTCCAGGAGACATACTGCCAATTCCAGGACAGCCTCGCCTAAGAAATCGTTCGCCTCGTACCTAGCGTAGTCCCAGACCGAAATCTCCAGTGCTCTCTTTCTCAGCTCCGAACGTCTGACTCCATTATAAACGAAAGTCTGATTCCATCTAGGATCGTTCGTGTTTCCCACAGTCTTCGTACGTCGTTTCGATTTTTCGCTACAGTGACATTTAAAAAAGGACATATAAAACATTTGGAAGTTCAGCCAATAATCAAGTTAGAATAAAATAAGCCAGAAACTGAATAATCATTGTGAAAATATTTTGCACGGAAAGAACAATTTTGATAAAGTATCCAAAAATTAGATAGATACAGACCTAGAAACAATTTTGGACAATTAAAATAATTACGCAGAAAACTCAAGCATGATGAGCAATGCTGCAAAAAGTTTAAATATTCTACCAACCAGCTCGAGCGTCCTACATAATTATTTTGATAGTTTAACAAAATTATTTTCAGACCTACATAGCTAAAAATGTTTAGGTACTTCAGCAAAACTGTTCTTTGTCATGTAAAACAAAACTATAACGTTAATACATGTATATAATATCAAATAATATATTTTAAACAATGTATTTAGTTGAGTTTTCAAGATATTTGATTGAATTGTAGATGCTCCCATACTTATATTATGAATATTGGAGCATTCACAGATTTACTCGTATTTCTTAGAAAATTTCAATTGAAATGTACTATCATCTAATACTATAAAATAATAGTTTTCAGTGAGTAATTCACTTACCTTTTGTCAGGAAGCAGAAAAACTTTGGCGTAAGGATTTCTGGGTTGGCCGTTGCTCTTTGGAGTGAGCCCCGCGGCGCATATTATCGTGACGATCAGCTGAAGTCCCACGGGATCGAAGCCCAACTTCACCTGGATGCTACCGCCCACGTTCGCATTTCCGGTCGGATGTCGGGAGTGTCGACTGCGTCCTTGGGCGTGCAGGTCCGGCGAGCCCGGCGACGTCACTAAAACCGAGGGTTTCTCACGCCTCGCGTCGTACAATTCTGCAAGTGATCGTGCAGCTTCGACTAGGATATAACTTTCCGTATCTACGATCTTGCAGCGATTCACGTGAAGAGAAGGTACGCGCGAGATTCATCACGAGGAAAATAACGAATAGAAGTAAGAGACGACGGTAAATGAAGAAGAAGAAGAAATTCGGGTGAGATCCAATGAATGAACAAACTCTCATGCTTTCATTGCGCTAACACATTCATTGCCAACCGATCACTGACACTCACAATTATTGGCAATGAATATGTTAATATTCGTGTTCATACAATATGTATTAGATAAATACTCAAACGACAGAAAGATTGAAAATGTATCCTCAAGACGTAGTCCAAAGTAGTGTTTGAAAGATTGAGATATCTGTTAGACGTCTATATTCGAGAAATCTCTGCGTCGATCGGATACTTGAGTGTGCGAAATTATAGATGCGAAAACCAAGTTCTATCTCACAGCGTCATCGAACCCCTAGGGATGTTGCAAAATCGATAAACTATTTCTGAACAGTTCTGGAAACACCCACGTCTTTCGAAGAAGTGGAGTCCGCATGCACGAGTTCTCACAATCACGGAAATCCGTGACAACGAGCCACGAAAGGAATAAGGGGAGTTATTATGATAATAATGTTAGATCGATACATAGTGAAGATAATAAACAGTAGTGAATACAGCAAATTACACTTATCCATAAGGATTACACGAGATACTCGTGATTTGTTATAAGTAGAGAGGAAGCACGATATGAGGGATTTATATTATATATCGGCATCTTTATATCTTGTGTATATATATATATATATATACATATAGTATATATAGTTGTTGCTCCCATAAGACTATACCTATACAACGGTGCTCTTTTAACGAAGGGAGGAGGAGGGGTGCATTAGCACTACGATCTACATCTACGTTAAACATCGACGGTAATACTCAAGGCAGAATAAATAGTAAATCAATCTTCGTTGCTTCGCCATACGTTCTTGTCGTAGCATCGAAATCATGATTCCTGTCCCGTTTGTTGAGATTTGAAGGCAAAATCTCACGAAACGGTGGTCGATAACGGAGATAAAAGGCTAATGGTACAGGCAAAAAACACTGATCAATCGAAAATGGTTTAAAGAAAGTTGTCTGAGGCCTACCCCATAGTAAGCATTTCTTAAGACCTGAAATGCGAAAAATGTAATCCATAGCATAATGTTATTTCTCTGATATGCTTAATACGTACACTTATGCGAATAACGCAGTGTTAGCAATGAGAGGCACGGTGCGTCGTCTTATATGTAATGAGATTTAATTGATATCTGAATATTTTATCAATTGGAATAATTAGTTTTCAACTCTTCCGTCTGTTTTTAATTTGTGCTGATTTTCTTATTGTTCATCTATAAATCTTACCTAAAACGGTACGTATAAGAAAATTTACAGAAAAATTTTGTGAATAAAACAAGCTACGTTAATGTTTTCTTTGCTAAAAAAAAATATATAAATGCATTTCAAACGGAAAATACTTCTGATTCTATAATATAATCACATTCAGTTTAAAACAACACATCTTCCTATAATAATATATTCTTTTTTAACTCTTCGTTGCTACATTCAAATTGACATCCTGACAAGAATGAAAGCCGATCTACCTAAACTGATCTATCTCATCCCTTTTAATTGTATAATTACCATTTGTGTATATATTTGCAGAATACAAACAATAACACACATTACACAATGTTATAATTTCTCATTCAATAGTATAAATGTAATATAACACATGTATATAATACTTACACTGTTGAGTAGGAAATTATAACATTAAGGTAATGTTACTGATTGTATTCAGCGGGTACCTATATATAAAAAATTTTATATATGCATATATATATATATAACATATATAAAATTTTTTAGAACTCATTAAAATGTTTATTAAAATAACGCTCGATACTATAAGCCCACATGCACGACTACCATATTATACCAAATCGATGATAAGTATATTTAGAGTTTTATAAAAAAAAAAGAAAAGATATAAGTATATTTCGAGTTTCAACAAAACGAGTCAGTGATAAAATAGATATCTAGATCACATGTGTGATACATTGAAGCGAAATCAAGTCGGAAGACGGCCGGAAACGAAACGTGCTCTGTGTATAGTCACCTTTGTGATGCGGCGTCGGAGGCCCGGAGATGGTTTCGTGTTTCTGTCTCCATTGGCTCTGAGCAACGATTCTCCTGGATGCCATGGGTGTCGATGGGCCCGGTCCTGCAGGCGCCATCCCCGTTGTCGACAACTTTCTCTCAACTACGAGCTCAATCTGCGGATCCAACCTCGATTCGGCGATGATGTCGGAAACCTCTCGGAAGCTCTTGCTTTGAAGAGATCTCCCATTCCACGCGATCACCTCGTCACCTGAAACAGCCGCAAGGGATCGAGCGTCGTCCGATTCGTTCTTATGGACGGTCGTGGGAACGGAAACGGCTTGCTCTCGCGATTGTTACGAGCGCTGTCGATAAGCCGTGTGCTTTCAAGGCATAAAAACTGAAAGCACGAATTACCACGACAAAATTTATTAATTGTGATTCAAGACTAATAATCAATTTTCGATTATAATTTCTCTAGAGTACAGCAACAGAAGTATTTTGCAATTTAAAGTATATTCCGTAACAACGTTTTATCATCACGTAAATTTATTATCATAATTTCCGTTCATAATAAACGCGTCGTAAAGGAGATGAGATCTGGACAATTAAAAAATTCTCCGAATTGCTTGATCCGAACTTTATAATCTTCTTACCGGGTCTAAGTTGACCTTCTACGTCCGCCGTGCTACCCTTTTTCACTTTCTCGATCAGAGCGCCCATGGAACCATCTTCTAATAGCTTGCCACCGACAACTTTTAGTCCGAGTATACTACTACAGCTTCCAGAGCCGGCCGATTTTCGTAAAACCATGTGGCCGATGAGCTTCTGACCGTCCTCGCTCACTTGCCAGGATGGATGCTACGGAGCGCGGATAGTATTTCTTTACTGATAATGAGTGTCGTACCTTCACAAACCATTAACTATGTATATGGAATGTATGTCCGGATTCTAGTTCTTAAATCCAAATGCGCTTTTATATAACAAAATTTAATAAAATCTGAGATATTTTATGCGATATTAATTAATTAATAACCAATGTGATTTAATATAATTATGAAATACACTGTTGTCTTATTGTAAAAGTAATTAATTATAAACCACATTCTAGAAACTATACTTGTTGTTTGTAAGAAACTTGTCTAATTTTATCGGTTTCCAGTATCCTGACGTATTTCCATTTTATTGATCTATATTTACTAATTAAAACACAACTCTAATAGAAAACAATTGCAACACACATCAGTTTACAAATACTACTGAGAAATGCTTTGCATCTTGCAACACATTTCTCTTGCGTAGAATGCACTACTTGAGCTTAAAAAATGTTGTAAGATATATAAATGTATAATTTTGAAACGAGCATAAGATTTGAGAGGATACGAATTGGTAAATTATGTCGATATATAAAAAGAGCGAAGTATAATATAATTAATTAAAAAAACAGAATCGACTTTAATTGGCTATTTTAAATAAGTTGTTTCTAACAAATAAAAAGCTTCAGGCTTTAACTTTTACGAACCTTTCGCTATCCTCTCAATGAAGAAAGCAGTCTTATGGTTTTCGACGATCTATAGGCATGTCGAATAATTTAAATCAACAAGCAACCCGTGCTGTTGTAACATGAAACATATAAAAGCAAATAGTGGCCATTGCTTCATGCGCTACATGCGTGATTAACAAATATTACAATACGTAAGGCATTCTGTACGGCATGCATCCCGCACCTGTCCAATTTTCAATGTCCGAAGATCCCCGGAAAACTTAGAAAAATATTAGATATACATGTATTGCAGCATGCAAATAACACTGCGTGGTCGTCAATATGCGTAATATTGCGCAAAAATCCTGAGCGTGATGTATTTCTATCTGAGAACGACACGATTCACCAGGTGGATCTACTTTAGGGAAAGGGGTCGCCTCTTTTTGGCTTCTGTCCTATCAAATGTTAAGCTTCTCAATATCTAATACGAGACTCATAGAAAGCCCGAAGTCTTGTAAGACAGGATTTTAATTCAAATTTTTATTCACGAAGTTATTACATTTTTTCACTATATAGTGGATTTAATAATAGCAATGCTTAGACATTACTAGAAAATTAGAAAGTAAAGTCTACACACACAATTGATCGTATATTCTCAAAAACCCACAAATTTATAAAATTTCTGAATAGATTCGATCGTATATTTTTACAATCCATTTCTACTTTTACGCCAGTAAAATATTTAAAAAGTAATTTTAATCGTTATAATAACAATGTTTATGATCATATTGTAATGCATGTTGAAAGAACTTTTTGTCAGATATGTTCGAACCGCAATGCTAGCAAGATCAAATACCAGACAGCAATTAAGCTTCTTGTTCACGATTAAACAATAGTACAAACTTCTTTCAATTATACAGCAGCTAACCACTCGAAATCGTAATAATTGAAGGGATATTAAAAAATCCTTTGCTCAGGACTGATCGACGACAACTAACGAGGTCGTCAAGTCTCATCAGTTGCGATATCCTTTGGCCGCGATCCAATTTGATTAATTATGAAACAGATACGTTTTTCTTTCGAGAACTAGCAACTTCGCCAATCCTTTAATTGGATCATTTCGAATGTAATTTGCCTCGCGAATAAATTACGTGAAATTTTCTAAACTTTATTAGAATACACAGTTAACAAATATACACAATATCGCAATACATTTTTATCAGATAAGATCTGCGCCTGCCAGGATGCGACGCACGCGACGCAATTATCGATCGGACGCAATCGCACAAATTAATTCCTGCGTCGTCAAATTCTGTATCTTCCTTCCTTGACTTATTCAACGAAATGAGTAGAATCAATCGCGACGGTCTTTAGTTTCCTCGTTTTTGCCTTCACGCATCGCAATCAGTTTCCACTTTTGCTTCCGAGAAAATAGAAACAAGCCTCGAGTTACGTGACTTGTTTGAAAAATAGGAGTGAAAAAGATTGATCCCGATCGAGTTGCTTCAAGAGATACGTAAGTCGTTGCCAGATAAATTACCCGATTGCCGACTGTTTATCCAGGGAATTTAATCATGGTTATTTGCTTCGTATAATTGGACCGCGACCCCTGCAGCCTATCTCCTTCGTCTATCGAACGATGAGCAGTGCACGCAATATTTCTTCCATTCGAACAGAAACTTTACAAAAATGCTTAAATCTGAAATTGCAATCACAAAAAATATTTCACGGATATTCTATAATTAGTTAGCATGTCTAATACTTATTTAATTTTCTTAACACATTTCTAAATAATTTATTTTTAAAACGATATAAATAAATCTTTATTTATTTGTCCATAACTGCGAAGATATCTGAAGTTAGCATCTGGAGAATTGAGAGCATCGATCAACAAAATTTTCTGCTAACTCCGACAAAAATAGATATCAAATTGAATCATCTTTCGATCGAAATATTTGTAACTGGCTAATATTATTTTATTTTACATCTTGATGAAATTTTCCTAAATTTTTTTAACACAAGAAAGTATATAATAATTTATAATCAAATCGTGATTACTACACTTATTATCCACTTTTGTTATTTGAATCTATTGATTCGTTTATATAGAATGTTCTATTTCCACAATCTATTTTGTCAAACACACACAGACACATACATTATATTGACAAATAAAGATAGCGAAATAAGCTTTATATATAATAATGTCACAAACGCCATCTTTTGTCTCTCTCTAGATATTTCCAGGAGAATTTACATGCCGAATACTAAATCGATTATCTGCAACTTCTTATACATTATATAATGTAACTCACGAAAACTTAATTGAGCGACCGTACTTTAATTTGGAAGTGGCGTAAAAGAGAAATGAATGTCAGAAATTATATTCATTATTTAAAAGTACATAAATCTTCTTCGTTTATTAAATCTATGTCATTGCGAAATTCGAGGAAAATTACAGCAGATTTTAGGTGAAAGAGGCACGATGAAATGGAATCAAAAAAAGCCTAACGCAAGAGAATTATACAGAAGATAATTTTCTACTTAAAACTTTTGAATTCACAGAATACTGTGGATGGCGATCAGTAAAAAGAATTTATCGTTTTACTAATTCCATCAATGTGTGTGCATAAATAACCAATATGAGTGACCAATAAGTCAATTTGAAAGTTGAAGGTGAACGATATTCCGTGACTTCAGATTTGGGAATCCAAATAAGCTTGAATTTTATGTCAACGCTGTAAATTGTACAAAGAAAGCCGATACAAATCATACAAACGAACCTCGAAACGAACACAAGCACACAAGCCTTTAAGCACGAAGTTTAGGGTTAATCGAGCAAAAGAGGTTCTCTCTCCTGTCAGCATAGATGGGATGAAAAAAAAAAATCAAACGTTCAAACATAATTTCGTAATTACGGCGTGTGTAATATATATCTATCTCTCTCTCTCTCTCTCTCTCTCTCTCAGTTCATACATCGATCGGTATCAATGGTCTTAGCACGATCAATTGCGCAATTCTCCATTCCCTGAAACTTCGGCTCTCCTGGCACACGGGACATATTGTAATCCGAAAGTAACTAATTACAAGTGCTGCGCGCTAATTACATCAATTAGCAAGCCACCATCTCCAATGCACCTGTCCGCTACTCTATCGAAGCTAGGAACGAGAAAGAAAACAATCGTAATTCCACTTTGGACGACGTATTCCATTTCGGATCCGCCGAAATGATTGGCGTCTGGAGATCGCACACGGAGGAGAGTGATCGTTGCCTAGATGAAGCACCGTTTTATTCCCGATTGGTCGCGATCCGTGTGCAACAAAAAACGCTGCTGAAAAAAACCCCTTTTACTCGATTCACCGGCGAATACGATTTGTTCCTGAACTCTTGTCTATCCACGCGCGTGTGTGGGACTCCGCCTTCTACATCACCGATCAACAGCTAGACTCCGATCTACAATTCGCTACAACTCGAGAAGCGTTCTCTAGAGTTATTTTTCTTTTTTTTTTTTTTTTTTTTTTGG